TTTGTCATACGTTGTACATTTGCTGTTATGTTAAACTTATATTAAAGTTTTTCTTCATTACCCCATTCAAGCCGTCTCGTCATCGAATCTGTCTGTATATCTATTTATCTGCAATTATTTGCCGGGCTTATATACTAAAATAGAGGGCGCTGGAAAAGACTAGAGCTGCCAGGAAATCTCATCACGTGTTATCAGCCCCACGTGACTTCCGCTGTCGTAACAACCGTAAATCGTGTATGGTTCCTATAGTAACAAATATAAATAAACTGTTTCCATCGTTCTTATATAACTGGAAGCCTAATTTACGAGTAACGTTAGAAAACATTGATCTGTTGTTGAAAAGCAAATCAAAAGCGTGGGACTTTCAAGGTTATTGTGTACAGTATAGATATATGTGCGTTACTCAGTTAGAGTATATTATTTTGCTAAAATTATAAACTTAATTAAGTATTACCATTATCGCCAATGGGTTTGACGCTTATGGTTAATGACCATAGTTAGGCCAAACATGGTATAACTATAACTATAAGTAATGTGATGATAAAAAAATTTGTAACTTGCTAATTAGTACTAACAGTAACTCAACATTATTTGAAAATGTGCTTTGTAGAACATTAGAAAAGAGTAGACTTTATCTAGGTGCAATGAATTTGTCAGATGTATTTACACAAATTTGTGAAAGAAGAAAGTTTGAATATGACAATGAGATGGACAACAGATCAGCGAATTCTGACAAAAACAGTGAAGCCTTTTCCTTTGCCAATGAAGAGTGCCGTTTATTGAGGGTTTTGGAAGAAACTGTTTTTAAAATTCAAATTATTTTATCCATAATATCTAGTGATAAAGAGCATACACATTTGGTGTCAGAAAAAAATATTCCTTTGGAAAAATATGAAGAATTAAAAAAGAAATATGATCATTTCAGTAATTGTGATGATGGTGTGAATGAACTATTAAATGATGAAATTAGGTCTTTTATAAAGGAGCTATTGACTACAGATAGGAAAATTTCTGATGAGATCTTTATTAAAAATAAACACCACTTTACTCCAGATATATTAGGTAAATGAAGTTTCATTGTATCAGTAGTTTAGAATTTAAGACAAAATGTGTTTTAAAATGATAATTGTGGAATATACATTAGTAATAGGACTTGTACATAACTTATGAAGTCATACATTTAAAATATTAGTATTTCCAATAAGCCCTTTAATCTGTTTTGTTGGATATGCACAATTGAAGATCATTGTGGCTGTGTGTTGAATATGTTCTGATTTTGAACTTGTTTTGTGTAATTTAAATGATTCTTCATGAGGAGAACAAAAGTATTAGGCTCCATAAGATACATAGTTTAAATTTGCTATGCATAAACACATATCATAAATATTTTTGATATTTCCTGATTGACACGTTAGTTGATTCTTTTAAAACTAAGTTAGTATTCTTGTAAGTTTAAACTAGGTTCTATATTATAATACTTTGTCTCCAAATATCATACAGTGTATCTCTCAGCAAAATCAAAATTTATTACCTCTTTTTCCACATTCAGTTGAATCAATTCAAAGGACAACAAGCCTTCTATATGGAGTTTTATGAATTGTCTTGGTCGTCTTGTTAAATCTGTATTCCATCAAGCATCATTCAATTACTTTTGTGATATTCAGCCTTTCCATTAATTTCAGAACAAGAGCTTTTCAGAAAAGTTATTCCCAGAGTGGATTGCAAATGATTTTTGACAAACTTCTCACATGGCCCATAAATTGTCCTTCAGATGTAGTCCATTTTCTGAGATTAGTTTTAGAATGTTGTTTGAGACCAAGATTAAATAATTACAAGTTTTCTATATAACATAATATGGGAATCACCCAAAAGGGATGTCATTTTAGATTTATTGTTAACCATTAATGAGGATGTAGATGTCAGAATCTCAAAAGTTGTGAAGGCAGATGAAGACTGCAGCAGAGCGAGTCCATCAATCTCTTGGACTTCTTGCCATTGGATCATGGTCATGTTATGTCAAGAACTCTGTAGAAGCTGGTATGCAATGGCTATTCCACAATAAAAGAAGTCATGCACAGACATTTTCCATGTTATGGAAAACTATCATCCTTGGTTGCAATTGATTGCCAGAAGAATTTAAGTAGGGGGATATTTAGGGAAGAGTGATCACTGCATGAATACATAAAATAGTGAATTAAATTTTTATTTTGTTATGGTTTACTTTACCATTCATCTATTATTCATTCTATTGTTTAGTTCCACAATAAATTTTTAGTTACATAAAAGTGCTAGCTCACCTTCTGTCTAGATCACGTTGATTCTAAGTTTGTTTTATGTATGTGTTATGAAACTGACAAAAGCTTTTTTCCTAGCAGTGACATATAAATACTAATAAATAAAACTCTATAACCTGAGAGCTTTCAAAAGGTGGACCTCTCTTCTTCAGGGGCAAATTGGGAATGGTGGTGTAATCGAATTAGTGATATATATAAAGGAAGTTTAGGGATATCATGAATGTCATCTAGTTTTCCAGGAAATGTTTAGTCTACTTCTTCTTGAATCTACAGGTTTTTCTAACATCATGAATATAAATATTAATGTCATGAAAGATTATATAGGTTTATAATAATAGCTAGTCACATGAGATGTAACCTTATGGTCTAACCACTAAATGAAAGGCCTTCCTTGATCTTGAAAATTATTTATTTCACAAGATATAGTTAGAAAGATTTATTATTCTATATTGTTCTTGATATTGAGAAGTTGTTTAATTTTGAAACATTGTGTTATTCTCCTGTGAAATAAGTTTTTCCTTTTTTTGTTTCTTTTTTCTCTAATTTCTTTATTTATTGAAATTAACCACATTGAGATTTGTGTTGTATTGTTTATTAATGTTTGTACCTATTCCTGGCCAGGCACAGGTTTACTAATTATTCTTTTCTATAAGTGATGAACATTTGTATTCTAGTTGTTTGATTTTTTATTTCTGTTGTTATATTTAATAAATTATTTTTATTTGACCCTGGTTGTAGCAGCATTTTGTTATAAATAAGATTGATGTTTGGCCAAATGTTGAGATAAGAAAATTAAATTTTTGTTCTTAATTCTGAGAAAGCTAATTTTGAGGCTATGAGACAAGATTTATCATTATTGAGTTGGGATAATAAGTGAAAATGTGATTTGGGAAATTAAAAAAAAAGCTTTTACTTCAAGGTAAGCATGTTTCCAGAAAGAGGAAAAGAATAACAATGTATAAAATTTAATTGGCTTAGTAAAGACATAAAGAAGAAAATCAGGGATAAATGCCATAAAAGCTGCCCTAGAAATTATAGGTCAGTTAGTCTTATTTCTGTTGTGGAAAAATGCTAGAGTGTCTGATAGAAGAAGCTTTGCAAAATCAGTTTTTGAAGTATGATATCACAAAAGAGAACCATCATGGATTCACCAAAGAAAAAATGTTGTCTTACTAATCTGTTGACTATTTTGAGTGGGTTATTTGACAAGGCACTACACAGAAGTTTAGTGAAGAAACTCACATAGGTTGGGGTTGGAGAAAGATTAGTTGGTTGGATTGTAGGGTGGTTAAGTGAGAGAAAGCAAAAAGTCATTATTAATAGAGTCCAGTCAAATTGGACCTTTGTTACTAATGATGTGCCTCAGGTGGCAGTGCTTTGGCCTTTGCTTTTTCTTATTTATATTAAAGGTTATGATAGGGGCATTGTAAATAGTAAAGATTATATTAAATTCTTGGGTATTTTTAGCTGTATTGAAGTATTAATAACATAATAACTTTGAATGTTTGTTTAGTTAGGCATATATTTGGCAACTGACCATTAATTATAATAAGTAAAAGATAATGTGTTTGGGTCATCATAATTTGGATCAAGTATAAATGGGAACACACTCAATAGCATGAATGAAAAAAAAAAGGATCCTGGCATAGTGGTGCCTAAATCACTCAAGCCATTGAAACAGTGCTCATTTGCTAATAGTAAAGGTAATATTATTTTGAGGAGTATTTTTTAGACAATGATTACAAGTCAAAAGAGGTAACTATCTCTTTAAACAAGTCACTAGTTATACCTCACTTGGAATACTGAGTACACTTTTGGTATCCTTATCTAAGACATGATATTTAATTATTGAAAAGGGTTTCAGAGGATGATTCCAGGGATGGAAATGTTATCTTTTGAAGATAAGTAAGATCTATTAATTTTTCTTTTTAAAAATAAAGGGTAAGAAATGATCTAATTGAAGTTTACAAAGTTAAAGGTTTTTGATTTACCTGTGCTGTGTTCTGAAGACATTAGGGTGACAGAAAGAACAAAAGTTCAAGAAGAGGAAAAGACAGTCTACAGTCTAACTAAGACATTTATATTTTTCAAGTAGGGTGATTACTTATGTTATGAGTTGCCATTCCAACAGATTTAATCTGATCTTATCATGAAAACTGTGAGTAGACTTTTAAGATATAAACACAGACAATTATGCTTTGACTGATAATCAAATTTTTCAAAGTATAATTGAATGGATCTTGGTAGCATAGTGTTATTACTATTTGTGATGTGTAGCATCAGTGATACCCATTTTGGCAAAGTCATCTTTACTATTCATAGTCAAGAGGAATTGTGGTTTTTGGACAAGTCAGATAACTCATCAGTGGCCTAAAAAATTCTTTATTATCATGACATTATGACTCTTCTATTGTGAACATCTGCAGTCAGTTACTTGTTGTGTATGTATTCAAAATACATTTATGTTGCAACACAAGTGTGCATAGATAAAATTTTTATTTACATTTAATATACCTACTTCAGTTTTAAGCTTTACAGTGATAATTTCATGAAGATTTTCGTTTTGAAGGTGTATGGTTGTGTTGCTACTCTATAAGGAGCAGTAAGACAGAAAGAAACATTGACAGATATAAGCACCAAGATCTGCAAGTTGAATTCATATGTGCCTTTGCAAACAAAAAAATAATATGTTTCCTTCAATAAAATTTAAATGTTTACATTTTCATGAAAGTTAACCACTTTAATAAAAGAAATTGCTTTCAAAATAATGGATGGAAACTTGATTTAATTCAAAACAGCCTCAAACTAAGACTTGATAAATTGTTTCATGTCTTTCTTATATTTTATTTCATGCTCAAATTGAAATTTTTAGAAATCTTTAAGGTCATCATTTTGATAATAAAAAAATTAAAATGTGATTCAACCAGGGGAGAAATTCTGCTGCTACTCACCAGTACTGAGTACTGGAACTTATTTTTAAGGCAGTACTAGTACTAGGATTTATTTGAGCTGCTTTGTTGTTTTTCATGTTTACATGTAGATTTTTTTCTTTTTCAAAAATAGGTCCACTTCACTCAGCTGAGTACCTCTACTATTTGTTTGAGAATTTCACTTCTGGATTCAACACATAATTAATTTTACTGAAAAATGAAGTTGAGAAACTGAGTTTATTTTCTATAAAGTATTTGATTTCTCTATACATATATATACTCCATGTTTTTACACCACTCAAAATTATCATTTATACAGATTTAAATCAACAGTTTGAAGAACTTCACAAGAACTTGAAAGAAAGATTTAAAACTTCCTCAGATTTGGTACTAAAGGATCAACAGTATATTTTGAAAGTTCAAGCTGAAGAGCTGAAAAATGCTGACAAAGTTCAAAAACTAGAAACTGAGTTACAAGATACAAGAAAACAGAAAGATACTAAGGTATGAATTCTTTGTAATTTTTGCATGAACACATTTTCACAAACATTTCCATTTTGTAATTTTAATAATTGAATTGTTTAACATGAGTCTGATTATAATTGTGCATTTTCTTTTTTTTTGTCAAAAAGTGCATCTTACCAAATGTCTCTGGTTGTTTCTGATTATAATTTTCTTGGTTATCTCATCTCTGTTGACAATGTTATTAATGTAAGGAACAGGTTTTACTAATGGATTACAGATTATTTGTAACATTTCTACACATGCTGTAGAAAGAGAAATGCATCTTTTATTGATTTAAATCCAGTTATTTCATATTTAAACCACCACTTGCTTTGGCTTACACAAAGTTAATCAGGTAGGGATGGAACCTCGTGTTAATGTAATTTCTATCAACCAACAAGTCCAGGATTAGTTTTAAATTTACCCTATGTTAAACACATATCACTTAAATTAATTGTAATTGAATTTTTTTATTTTTGTATGAAACAACTTTCATATATATTGTAGTTTGACACCAAGATTACTGAAAAGATTATATTTCTGGTTTATTGTATACCAAATGAGCTCATATAAGTTGAAATGTTTTCAGCTAGCTGTTCTTGTATGATGTCATATATAGGCAAAGAAAAATATAAGATAGCAATAAATGGATGGATGAATGGACAGATCAGTATATATATTATAGAATATATAGATGTAACTAAAAAGGACCATAAGGCACCCTTTACTAAATTCTAAAGTAACTACTAGGTGCACGCACGTATGCAGGGGGTGGGAGTCTACCGAACCCCCTATTTTGTGATGTGAAAAAATTATGCTTATATGGTTATAGCAAAGCTGTTATAATATTTAATGTTTTCTTTTTAGTCTACATTCTTCTGATGAAACATTAGGATTTTTTGGCTTGAAATAGTCACATGCAATGGCTTCTTTTGACACTTTGTAATTAGAATCCTGAAGCCGTATTGATACAGTTGGGTTTTGTAAGCCGGATTCTTCACAGCAGGTGTCTGTGACTTGTTGGTGATAAATTTCAACAATAAACAAATAGCAACACAGTCCACTTGCTTTAAATAATATTTTTAAACAAGTCAAATGTATATAAAAATATTTGTTACACTGTTGGTTATCGCAGTTGTATCCAGAGCTTTAAATAATTGTCTTTTTTTTTTGTGTCAAAGTCTGCACCAGCTGGTTTGATTAATTTAGAACACAACTGTCAAGGTAAATTATTCGTCTCTGCTTTTTTATTATAATACAGTCTGTGATAGTTTTACTTTAAAAATAACCACTATACATTCTTCATTGCTAAACTCACAATTGTGCAGTATAGATCTAAATAATAATCTTTCGACGTGTATTTACACCTCGACAGAAGTCTAGAACGTTCTATGCAATAATAGGTATTCTGATGCAATAATACTCAGTTAAAACAACATACATGCTACACAATGTATGAATCATTAACAAACTTGGCATAACCTCTCGCTTCTAAAAATAACTAAATATGACACCCATGCTATATAAACTATCCAAATCATAATGCTTGCATTAAACTTAAACTAAAGCAGTGGTATATATTTAACAGCTACATGTGCTTTTGAGCGCAAGAGAGCTTCGTTGTGTCATGGAAGTAGAACTATAAAGTGATTGTGGGTTTGAGATTTAAGCATTTTTGTAGGTTTTTATTTTCGTATAAGGAAGAAGCTGAGAATTGTACTAATCTTAAACCCATTTGAAAATTACCCACTATACAAGTAACAGTAACTGGCGGACAGCAGATCCCGAACGATCACATGATATTTGGTAAACTGAAGCACACTTTTAAGCACTCAGCCAGTTAACACAAGGTAGCTATTCTAATTGTATATCCAAAGCTGTATTAGCTACTAAACCAGCAAAGCTACCTAGTACTGTATCCTAGTCATCATGTGCCAATCCTTTTATTTTGCTGGCAAAAAAAAATTATATATTGCTGCAATCAGTTTCATGTAGGCAATTCATTCTGTTCAGTAAGAAATGTCGAAAATTTAACTTATATACTGCATACTATATAGTCTCACGAGCCAAGAATAATTACCTGATGTGTACACAAACAGAAAAAAAGACTGAGTGCTCTAGCTCTAATACATAATCATTATGGCACTGCTATAAATATTGAAACTGTATGTAAGTTATTTATGGAAAAGCACCCCAGAAGAATGGTGTATGCTAACAAGTTATTTCGGTAATGCTTACTTGTACGTATATGATAGCCAATGATTCAAATATCTAATATACTATTGTTGTACAGAATTGTTTAAATTAGTACTATAATTTAACAGCTAATAATTGCAGTACTTTACTATACTAAATCATACATATTTATTGCAATTCAAGGTTTAGCTTTCCATGCAGTGTTGCAACAGAATGATGATTTGTTGACTTTTCATTGGATGTTTGTGGATTTTATGTGACAAGCCATGCAATTGTTTAAGTTATATTTCTTACAAAATTGCTTCCAGATTTGATCCCATAGCATCTATTTTTTTACAGATTTTTCTGGGGGGCATGCCTCCAGACCCCCCATAGTATTAGCACGCTGATTTTGCTTTTCATCTCACAAATTAGAATCCCACTTTAAAACATTCTGCGTATGGGCCTGAGGTGAGGTGTATGTAAGAGTTAGCTGATAGGAAAAAGCAAGTAATGGTTTTATTGTTATTCAACAGTGCTTATTTGTAGTTAACTTTATTTTTGTGACTTCTGACACATTAGTACAACAAATAAGAATATATACATATAAAAGCCTGCATTTAAAGTGGGTTATATAGGTTTAACAGAAAATTTGAAATTAATAGGTCTGTGAAAAAATGACTATGATCCAACAATTAGAAGAGTTTATTGCTCGAGTGGAAAGTTTGGCAGCAGACAATATCAGTCAGCTACAGTAAGTAGGAATTTCACTCGTGCATTTAATCAATAGAGGTTGTATAATGTGAATTATATGTACTGAAATTTGTATTCAGGTCTTGTTTATTGCATTTTATTTTTTTATAACTTTAGTATGAATTAGATTCTTTCTTGCATTTACGGCTATTATTTTACATTATTTTATTTAGTAGCAAATGTTTCAGCAAGTAAGTTAGAATATAAAAACTGGCTTAAAACTGCATATTGTATAAGTGTAATAACTAATAAAGATACACCTAGTGGGTAGTTTGATCACTAATCTGTGTTAGCATTAACAAAAGAAAAAAAGAGTTAATTGGAACCTCTGTAATCTATTAATTAATTATAATTCAGTGCATATATCAGTTAACATAATTGTTGTTTAAAAATAAACATGCGCATTTCAAAACAATTTTGAAGAAATGACCAAGTAAGCATTTGTAAGAAAATACACAGTATTAACTTGAACATCAAACACTTACATATCTTAATAAAATGATACAAATTATTTAGATATAACAAGTTTAAGGTTGGTGAATCCGAAGTATGACTGATTATTATTATTTATTTTTCTGGTTGACAAACTGTTTCTGCAGTTGGAATTTTAATTATAAATAGTGTATTTGCATATACATCACCATTAACCTAATGACTCAGACTAGTGGCCATATTGGAGGCATCAGAGAGTAAACAAATCGCTAGACAGTATTCGATATAAATTCATGGCAAAATTGATGAAAGCTGCTGAGAAACTGCACAAATTTTCGTTTAAGTATCGAGATAGCCTTTATAAACAATAAAAGGCAAGATATGAGGGGAAGTTGAAGCTGATAAATTTACATTGTAGATTTTAAGCCCAACAGTTTATGTTCAAAGATGAAAAGTAACAATTAAAGTACTGTCGTAACCTTATTGTTATTAGTATTCCTTATGGCATATTGTACATGAAACACAGGAACTTAAAGTTAAAAATATGACAAAATCAAAGTTTTAGATAAACATTTTCTTATTTAGTTGAAATTGACAACAGATTTACACATGCACAACAGACAACACCAATTTTGTCAACCAATGTTAAGTTTTCGTTTTTTCTACAGATAAAAAAATCAATGGGTAATGGTCTACCTAATATAGAATATTTTTGCCACACAGTTTCAATTACTCTCTCCACATAAATTCTCACATGTGAAATTTTTATAATCGTTTCTAGGTCAGTTGGTGCCAGTTGGCTTTTTCCTCGCGTAAAGGTAGTTATTTTTACCTCTGTCATCATAGAACCCACACTAGCTTGAAAGTTGAATATCACACCTCTTGTCAGCAAGGATTAAGTCGTCAGGCACAATATTATTCAGAAATCCACTATTTTCTGTTATATGTTTGTCACTTACTCTGTCTCTTCATGCTCTCGATATAAATGATACTGTTCCTTGAAGTGTAATATCAATAAGAAACTTGAAAGTATTGTGGTGCTTTTAGGAAGACCATGTTTCAGCTCTGGCCTTCAGATTAGATGGTCTGTCAATAAACACCTCAAAAAAAGTATATTATCCACCACATTTATTTCCAAAATATGTTCTGAATGTTTAATCTCAATTTCATAAGTGTAAGTATTAACATTTGAAACTTGCTCATATACTTTTTTACTGGCAAAAATGGTTCTAAATAACTAAAGAGAGTAAACAAGATTTGGTAAGTTGGTAAGCCAGTGTAGTAAATTACATTTTCATGTTTACCATCAAAGTCTGCATCATCATACGTTGAATTGTATTTTTCACTTGCGAACTCAATTCAATATTTTCAGTCCTTAAGATTTGCAACTTATTTGTCATGATTGTCACTAGGTTCCCAGTCAAATCCGTCTGGGTTTCAGTTCCAGTTTCCACCTGTTCTCTAAATGTTTCCTTTTGTATTTGTTGTAATAACAACAATGACTGGGCTGCATCCGTGTCTTTCTTTTTTTTTCAGTTCTTCTTTGTCTATGGTTAAATCGTGAAAGATCTGGTGACATTAGAATTTCCTCTTTAGTTATTGCAGCTGTGGATATCATATTGATAGAAGGGACCCAATCTTAGTTGTCTTTCTGGTAAAGGTCTGCCTTTTGTCCTAAAAAAGAAATAAGTAAATGTTTGAAGATCCACACAATTGTATGTCTATAAAGGTACAATGTACAAGCCATTTTCTAACCTGTGTACTTTAGCTTTTTGCTTGAATTTATATTATATTTTTTGTTTTACACGTGTATGAAAATAAACAATAATTTATCATATCACAAAAGCAAAAAAAAAATATCAAGATCGTAAAAGTTTGAGGTGGGAGAGTTGAATAATGTTTGGAGAAAATAAGAGATTAATTTTAATTTCTTTCCCAAGCTAAGGAAGACCAAAATATTCAAAGCCACGCCCCTTTCCGTCTTTTTTATGAAACAGTTGATTGCATAAGGCAGACGAGAATCTTATTAAAAATAAAACATTCCATGTTAATATATATATGGATAATGCTAGATGATAATCATTGCACCTCAATGCATAATCCCACTGAGAATGGGTGCTCTATCTCTACTGTCATTTTCACGTACTGTTGCTGAACAATATATATTTACTTATGATGAAATATTTATAAATATAGGTATCTATATAATTTTGTTATAAAAATATTTCTTACCTTAAATAAAATGAGCTGATACACTCGAATAATTTCCAGATTTTTCCCATCAAAGTTTTGCTAGAAGCTGGCTAATCACAGTTTCCTTTGGTCCTCACCAAGTTTTTTGCACCCTTCACCTTAATTAGTAATCACCTTGAGAAGGCGATAAAATTGTAAATGTGTGTCTCTGTCTTACCGATTAGACACCTTATCACTCAACAATAGTTTACCATTATTACTAGTATTTAACTGCCAAAGGCTACACAGGTAAGCTCATGAACAGTAAAACAAACAAAATCAATATCTCCAATATGGTCGACTCTCGTTTTGGTGAAGCCACGTGAAAACAGTCCATAACAACAATTTGGCATAAGTCGGCCAAATTTTTTTGAGAATTGAATTACCATTTTATTTATCAGCATATAATATGATCATTCCCCTTACCCAAATCTCTTTTTTTTTTCTTGGGAGGGGGGGGGCATAATAGTAAACTTTGTTAACCAAATTTGACAATTTTCATAAACAAAAGGTGTCATCTTGGGAGAGGGGGTGTACTCTAGTGCTGCCAAATTTTACCCCACTTGGCATCACGATGTGTCAAATTCTATCCTTGTTCTTAATTTTTACAGACAACAGTACGAAAATGTACTAATCTATCAACATGGCCAATCATCCAAAGGTAGTGAAGAGGGATTAAATACTTCATAGGATTTTAATATTTTTTAAGAACAATGAACATTTGGTATCGTTTACGTCACAGACATGTGTATAATGGTCAAAAAGGATTAGGATTAGACAACACACCATCATCAACTGTAGTATTGTTCAAAGTTCACAAAATTTGTGAATGATTAAAGTATATATATCACTTGTTAAAAAACGTGAAGAATATGAAGGTGATATTCTTTTCTTATATAGTCATGTTAACTCAACATTAAAATGTGCCTGTACGAAGTATGTTTTCAGTGCTATGGTTGACGGCATCACTCTCTCTCTCCGTGTCGGGACTTAGGTCTTTGTGACCTAGGAGGGTCAGGTTCGTAGGGACCTCTTAATGGCATCGCTCCTTCAAGATTTTGTTGGTTTCGAATTTTGCCCAAAGCTACTCAAGGGTTATCTGCACCAGCCATCCCTAATTTAGCGGTGATAGACGAGAGGAAAGGTAACTAGTCAACATCACCCAACGCCAACTCTTGGGCCACTCTTTTACCAGTTAATAGTGTGGTTTACGTGACATTATAACGCCCTCGAGACTGAAAGGGCCAGCATGTTCGGTGACGAAAATTCGAACCCACGACCCGCATATTGCGATTCAAGCGTTTTAACTACCAGGCCATACCGGACTTGGTGATTAATGTAACATAACTTAAGGATAGCAAGAACCATGTGGTCCATCAAGGTTATCCTTGTACATCCACCCTTGAGGAGAAGTAAAAACTCAAACCCTCCCATTATTTTTCAAGGAATTTCCTCCACTACTTCCGAGAACAACTCATTCTATAAGCCAATCAATCAGTTAGAAAAATAAAAGTGGCTTAAGTGGAGTCTATCCTCATTTGAATATATCATAAAGAAATCGAAGGCCATTATCCCAGTGTTTCTCTTTTCATGGGTGCTATTGCGCTATTGTTCATGGGTGGGTGCCTGTAAATGTTACAGCATTTTTAAGATAGATTTTCTTTGTTTTACAAAAATTTGGCAGTTCTGAAAGATTGTGTTAGCCTTTGTCTGAGATTCAGATTTAGCTGGAATATAAGTATAAGAGTTTTTTCTCCAGATTTCAACTTGATGAAGATTTAAAGTTCTTCAAAGCAGAATAAACTTTAACTTTGAAGAACTTTGACTGTAATGTATGGAACTTTTAACCCTTGTGAAAACTTAGAATACATCCCTCTCTTTTCAGTTAAAGATGCACTACATACACTTTTCTTAAATTTAACTTTGAATTTTTTTGTAAATATAATTGTGTTATACATTTTTGTATGCAATCTATTTCTATGCATGGGACTCAGTCAGATTCAGGGAGAAACAGACCCAAGCTTTATAATATACTGTATTTGTCAAATTTCCCATTTTTGTGTGAAATTAACTGTGGTTACTGGTTTGTGAAACATCATTTAAAGACGTAGTGTACCTGTTGTTTTCATTAACCCTATGCATAAAGTGGGGTATAAGTGCATATGTCACAACATTTTTACAGTTACATTCAAAATTTAATTAATTAAACAACTTTACTTTCAATGTATGTCAGTAAAGTGGATATCAAATTGTAGTTTATAATTCAAATAATTCATGTATTTACATTATATAAGTTTTAATTTCTAAAGGAAATATTTAAATAAATTCTTAATCTTCATTTCTCTGTATTATATGACACTTTATTCCGAATTGCCCATTTTAGATTTTATTTCTACATCTATATGACAAATTACACAATTATAATATAGATATTACTAAGACATATTGCAAAGTTACAGTCTCCAATTGCCTTGCTTCACTGAGATATAAAACAAAAAGTGAAACCCATATGCCACACCATCCTATTAAATCTTGTCTTTCAAAAAAAAAAACAATTGTTATCCTGTTAGTTAATAGGTAAAGTTGTTTTTTGGAAACATCAGTCAAGAGATAGCTGATAAGTTTCTCTCACCTTTAGTTATTCACAGAACTGGCTGTGTCACCAAAGATGTCATGATCTTCCCTATTAGAAAAGATTAATGCAGCACAGGATACATTATAGATATCAAAAATGTTAATTTTTCTTGATAAAGAGTGAGGGCTTTGACATCTCCTTGTTCATTTGTGAGTGGTCCTCGGTCATGTTGATAGTGCAGACACCTAGAGAAAGAGTGTGTTGTGTATATATTATTCTGTTTTCTTTGTTTTTGATAGCTTTTAAGTAAGACTTTATTTGTTTTAGATTGGATATTTGCTTAGTGAGTTCTTTGTTTTTTCTTGATTTGGCTAGATTTGATTTGTTTTAGAGACATTTTACAGCTCTTACATATTGTGTTAGCCTTTGTTTGAGATTCAGACTTAGCTTAGATATGAGTGTAAGAGTTTTTCAATAGATTTTTAACAACTTGATAAAGCTTTAAATTTCTTCAAATTGGAGTAAACTATAGCTTTGAAGAACTTTGACTATAATGGAACTTTTAACTCTTAACTTTTGACAATTTAGAGTTCATCCTTCTCTCTCCAGTTAATGACACAATATGGAAATTTGTCTTATTTTAACTAACTTGTATTGAGTTTGTAAATAAAGATGTTAGCAATATATGTGTTTATGTGAAGTCTTTTCATTTGTGTTGGACCAATACTCCTTAATACAGTATTTGTTGGATCTCCTGTTTTTGCAGACCCTACTAATTTACTGTGAGGAAAATCAGTGTATTTAAGAATGTAGTATATCCAGGTAAAACTGATTAATCCTAGAGTTATAGGATAGGGCCTCAAAATTAGCTTTCTGAAAATTTGTAATGAAAATTTATTTATTTTTTAATCTTGACATCAAACTGAATTATGCTTCCCCAGGTGTTCCCCTAAATCGATTATTGCAACTACATCCTAATTAGAGGTTAACAATGTGATATGCAGATATATTCTATCCATAGAGGTCATTGCTGTAATATTTCAAGAATTTTGACAGCCAGTGTCCTTCAACAATAGGTCAGGTATTTCTAGGTTACAGCCTCTATATTGAATGGGTAGTATTAGTTGCTATGGGTAAATCTGATGTTCTCTGTTGAGCAAAAAATGTTAGATTTAAGCATTTTGGAATAGATTTTGGTAAATATTCTTGTTCCTGATCTTAAGTGGGTTGGTTGAAGGGAAGGCATCTTAAGGGAATAAAAATAGTTAATTGATTCACAAATCTGTGAAAGGTAACCATCCAGCATCTAGAAAACAAGTACACACTGTATTTTTGCATATATTAATAAAGATTGTTTTCATTTTATGTGGCATGGCTTGGTGATAGTACGCTTGACTTGCAATCTGTGGGTCACAAGTTTAAATTTCACTGCCAAACATGCTCACCTTTTTAGCTGTGGGGGCATTATAATCTTATAGTCAATTCCACTATTTGTTGGTAAAGAGTAGTCCAAGAGTTTGCAATGGGTGGTGTTGATTAGCTGCCTTCCCTCTAGTCTACTACTTATAAATTAGGGACAGCTGGTGCAGATAGCCCTTGAGTAGCCTTATGCAAAATTCAACAAACACATTAAACAGACTGGATGACACATTATATGATCTAAAAACATTTTGTGTCACACATTGTGTTGTCCAGTCTGTTTACTCCTTTGCTTAAATTTAATTAGTGTAGTTAAATTCAGTAATACTTTGTAATTTATCCTGCAGATCCTTTCATTATAAGGCAGACCTACCTAATACTCTTTGATGAAATCAGTTTAACCTTAAAATACCATAATAATAAATCTGAAATAGTATCCCCTGTGGTTTCTGTCTGACTGTTTGCCATACCGAATCACATCATGAAATCTCTCCTTCACTACTTGACTCCATATAATCCCAGTCAGTGTGTCTAAAATTAAAGTATCCATAATTATTGCAACACTAGCCTTATAAATAACAACCCTGACCTCATACAATTTTCATTGACCTCATCTGTCTAATTAGGCAGAATCTAACAATTGCCAATTAAAAACTTTTTAGTTTAGAAATCCTTGATTGTGACCCATATAGATTCAACTTCTTAAGTACCATTTTTTTTATTCATTTACAACAGGCTGTACTGCATTGCTTGTATAAAGAGCCATATCATCATCTTTTAAAATATCATTACTATTAAATAAATTATAACTTGAAATTTTAGAATAATTCCTATTATAAATATTCTTCAAATCTAAATAATTTTCAGTAATTCCCATTATACCACAGTCTTTCATTTCAACAACAGCCCTGAACTCACTCATTTTGTTCACTAACATTAGAAATAGTAGCAACTAAAGTTATCTTTAAATCTGGCAGACCTTTTTTTTTCAAACTATCATGTAACTAGTTATGTTCTAAATCTTTTTCCAATATTTTTGTTTCTCTCGTTGTCTTAGCAATATGTGTTTTCCAATTTTCCCAGGATCCCTCACTAATATACAAGTTTAGTTTAAGCTGTCTTCAATGAATTTCTTTAAGAGCTTCATCAAATATCTTTCCATTTAGTGTGCTTAAGTGGAGCGTATCTCTAGCATGTAATTCACTTTGGTACTGGAAATTAAACTGTTAACATGTCCTGTATTTAATTGGGATTCAAAATTTGGTCTATTTAGTCCATTCAGACTCAAAAATATAGCTTTAGTTTTATGATAAAACGTAAATAGTTTACTATCTTGTTGTTTTTAATAAATAAACAACAATCAATCCTCTATAGAACAGATACTGCCAATCAGATTGGGTACGAGCAGAACATTTGCAAGGGTCATATCAGTCAACTTCAAGAAGAAATAGATCACTTGCAGACACGGTTATCTCAGCTTCATGCCAGCAACAAAGAAGACGAGAGTATCGTGAAAAAGGTTCGGAACCAGATTTTATTCTTTTCACGATGCGTGATAAAGTGTTTCTTTGTTTGAAGGAAACCTAAGTCGCTTTAGTTCATATATTGAAGTATTTTGTACAGAATGGTAAAGTACTAACACGATGAAATTTCAAATGACTTTTAACTATAAATATGGATTATCTTGTGTATTCAGTCGGCTTATAGATATCCATGGGGTAAGAAAGCTACAGTATTCTAATAACTTATACAGGTCAGAAATGGTATCTGGGACGGATTGACAAGTAATGAAAAAATTTGATCATTTACGTGTTAATATTTGACTTAATAAGATACCTCTCCATGTGTTGCAGTAACTGTAGTAATGTTTTGATATTAAAGTCTTTTTTTTCTTCTCTCTCTCTCTTTTGGAGTATTTTTTGGGTATCTCGCATTAATTGGACAGGTTGCCCAACAGGCTGTTCTTCTGCTCAACGAGAGTATCTCTAGATGCCTAACATTCGGAGTGCCCCCCCCTCCTACATCTGGTAATTAGGCCCCTGTTGTTTTGTGTGTTTTTTCGTTTACAGATCAGATTAAATATGTCTGTGCAAGATAAACATTTTAAATTGATTTTGCTGGTTTTTACTGATGTAGGAATTGGAAATATGTTTTATATTTGACGTATATCAGTATATATATATATATATATACCTATGGCGTCTAACTGCAGTGTTTATACCCTCGTGGAGGCAGTCCCCCCCCCCCAAAAAAAAGAAAAGTTTAAAAGTCCTGACAAAGTACCAGTTTTGTACTCTGTGTGTTGTAAAACAACTTTAGAAAAATCAAGAAGCTTCCAGAGGCCAGACCGTGCTAATAAATCTCAAATCACATTGTTGCCTAGGGAGTTCCAGTAACATTTCCGAATACAAAAAGTAAGAGTACTGTTTCCTTGGAAACAAAAATATGATTTGTAGTTAGTTATCGTTTGGAAAAAAATAATCATGAAATAATACGACTTCTCATACGTTTAGTCATATTACAAAATATATATTCATTTTTGTTTCAATCTATAGCTTCGACTTGGACGGTTAAAATCGTAAAACAGTTTTCAGCGGTTAAAAGAATGATCCATTTTTATTGGTTCTGTTTTTGTTGCAATGATTTTAAAAGCCATATCCTTGGATATTTAAGTTTATATACAAAATATATATAAGTGTGTCATTTTCATGGTGCTGATACTACTAAACACCAGGGCAATACAAACTCGATTTTTCTTTTCTTTAAGCGCAAGTTCAAACTAGAAGCAGAATTAGAAAATTGGTTGTTAAAGTACGACGAAGAGATTACTAAGAAACAGGTGAGAATGTACCTTATACTTGGTATCGTACGTTTTACTGTTACTTGAACTTAAGTACTTACGGTGAGTTTGTGGCAGTCGGATATTAACTGTTATCATCGTTAGTAGCCTGTACGAGCACTTAAGTCTAATTATATTTTATATATAATTATTAATAACTAAATAAGTAACTTTTTTATTGTTTTAATTTCTATAACTAAATATTAATTTCTAACTAGTTTTTGTACTATATTTTTCGGTTGCTTATCTTCTGCCAAAAAAAAGATACTAATTAATAATTAGGCATAGGTGATCGTATAGGACAGTGGTATCTAACCCGTGGTATACTCGTGGACCTTTTTGAAGGTATGCGCGAACCTTTGAAAAACATTAACAAGAAAATAAACCCACGC